TCACAACACTTCACCTTTATGCTGGGCTAAACTCAGGGTAGCCATAAACACTTTGAAGTAATACAAACCTAAATATTCCTGCTAAGCAAACTGAGCAGTGGAACTGAATTATAATGAGCCAGCAGCTGTCACAATACGACCACAGTAACCAAATCAAAATATCAACCGCTAACCCAGATGAGATTCAAAGGTCATCCTCTAAGCCAACAGCTTTCTTCAGTTCTGCCTGCAACAAACTCCATCGGATCCTGCAGTAAAATGTTCCACTGAGCTAGTTCAGAAACCAGTTACTATATGGTGGTCAATTATTTAGTGCACTGGTAAAGCTCCATTAGAATGAAACACCACAGCAAGGAAACTGAACCACTCACAATGGGACATGTGAAAACACAGCAGCTGATGTTGCATTAAGCTGCACCCAACTGTACAGAAGTATCACTTTTCACATCCTTCAGTTACCAACCCATGTATGTAATCTTGCTGGGCAACTTGCTCATTTATCCTCCAACAATCTGGTTTTCAATTAAGACTCTGGAACAATAGGAGGAAAATGCATGCTTAGATCCTTCCTCCGATTAAAGAGCTTTAGTGAGAAAATAGATCATCTACCATTGTGAAAATATTTGGACGATCACCTGCAAAAAATTAACAGTGGGCAAAGGAAAAAAATGGAATGTTAAAAAAATAATCCATACTCTTTGCATAAAGTTCTTGTCAGGATTTTCAAAATAAACTGCTGCATACAATCTCTCGAAAATACAAGAGTTAGACTCTTGCCCTCTTTGTCCCATTAGCATATTCTGAAAGCTACCCAAGGATCAACTGTAAAGGTTTAATCAAATTGTTAACAACTGCAGAGAACCAGTTTCCAACAGAGTGAGTGTACGTTATCAATAATCATAGGCAGTCACAAGGAAGAAGTGATTATTTTCTCCAGATATAAAACACGACACAGAATTTCAAGTAAGGAAAATGCAAACTGGCTTATATCTACTCAGGGAAAATGAGGAGTAACTACTCAGTCAACGGCAAGTAAGACAGTACAGGTGTTGGTCAATGCCAGCCGTCAATCTGATGACTCAGTACTTCAATCCTTCAATCTTTGAACTCCTCCAGAACTCCCTACATCAAAATAAAAAAATGAAAGCCATTCACACCTTTTTTTAAAAAAAATCAGTTTTACTGGCTGCCTCTTATTTGCCTGACGTTTTTTTTAAAAGGATCTCTACAGTCTCAACTTTCAAATTCTGTATGGCAACGATAACACCAGATTGCAATGGGAAAGGTCAGGCCACCTTATAAACCAAGCAGTGCTATGAATTCTTGCAATTGTGTGTGTGTGTGTGTGTACATGCACACAAGTATGTATGTGTGTTCTCATGTTTATTTTTCAGTTGGAGACACAAGCTATTAGTAGTGTATATTTCCAGATATGTAAGCTTATCTTCCAAGAAAATAAATTAAAGGAGCCACTACTTCTGTTACAAATTATATCCAATTCTGTATAAACATGTAATATAGTTCGGTGTCAAATACAGGCATTGTATCAGAAGAACTACATAATATTCCTGCAAAACCACTCATATGAACTCCGACAGTTCAGAGTTGTAATAAAGGGTCTATTACAATAGGACAGTTTGTGTAAGGAAATATGTTAGCAATGCCTGAATCATTTTCCCAAAATGGTATACTGAGAACAACAACAAAACATACAATAATAATTCACTCCCTCAGGAAAGCGGTTCCGTGCTTTTCTTTTCCCCCTTCCTTGAAATAAAATAAAATCTCAGTAAGTGAACAGTTTACTCAAAAAAAAAAAAAGGAAGAAGAAGAAGAAGAAGAAAATCAGGTCATGTGCAGTTAAGAACTCTTTCCTATAAAATTAGTGTCACTTATTTCTGTAGCAGACGCCTAATTCAGTCACAGGCTTGATTGATTTGACAACAGAGAATCTGGCCCAATAAAGCGGCTGATTTATTTCTGATGCTATAGCTTTTACCCTAGTATGACATCACAGCAAAAAAACTCTTTGAAATGTAAAAAATCCTTTGTAGTTCTAATGAGAACCAGTTACAGGTTATGAGAGAGTGGATACTGGTTGCTGTCTAAAACTTACAGTAAAGTCTTATACCTTCTCTGGCAGAGGGAAAACTTCCACAAACACCACGGCACAGAATAGGGATGTGGACACAGAGAACAGTGTGGATACAGCATGTATTTCATGAGTTCCAATGGGTGGCTACACAAATAGATTTTGTCTTTGACTCTGTAAATGAACATTATCCTTAATTTTTTGAAAACAACTTATCTTTTCTTTGAAAAGATGCAACCTAACACCAATGTGGCTCGTCTTAAAAATGGCTTCATTTTAAATAAGCAGCAGCTTGGGCAACATCAGTGAGAATCTTTGCTTCCTGGAACCAGCCCTAAGACACTCAAGTCAATCACAAAGGTGGCTGGGATACGAGGAATTACAGCAGTGGCAAGAGCTTTCAATGCAGAACCACCATTTTCTGAAGAATATTTTTTAAAAATGTCTTCCCTACACTAAAAATGTGAAGTATTTCAGAGTTTTTAAATGTCTCTTTCTCCTATTTTCCTCTTCTGTACATTGCATCATGCCCTCTCACTCTGAGGGCGACTTCCCTGACCCGAGTCTGACACTGCACCGTTAATGTCAGATAAACCATTTAGCCCAAGCACAATTCTTTTCTGTGCAAAAATCTGCTTGAGGTGGAAAATGTAGCAGTTTGTAAACAATAAAGAGCCGTGTTTCAGACCAGACAGCTTATCTAACAGAGAGGTCCTTTCATTGGGAACAGTGGGTGGGAGCCTCGTGGACATAGTAGCATTTCCTACCACAATGAAGGAGACTGTCTTGGCCTCCATATTTAAGAGTTTAATGGGAAGGAGGGCAGACGGGATAAAAGAGCCAGGCTGACATGCATTTTCAGCTTAAACAACAAGCAAGTGAAAGGAGTCAACTCTCATCACTCTAGACACAAGGCTCACATATATTTTAAATACACTTCAATTGAAAAAGTTCCTTGGTTTGTCAAACATTTGCCCACGAGGAAACACGAAGAACTACCAACTAATACGTGTGTATTGCTAGGCATATTCTATAATATTAATCATCAAGTTGCCCCTTAGAGTAAGAATTATTTTTTCAAATATTAACATAAACTTCTCAAAATGAGTAGCAATTTATTTATTCTGTTTTACTTACTTCAGCTCATCAGAAGACAGGGTTAGAACCTTTTAAGTTCTTCAGTATACCCTGTAGGCGCTACTTCTCAACATTACAAATTTCAAATATTTTTTTCTATTTTATGAAGTTGTGGGAGGATGGATAGAAAAGCAACAGTATTAGAATTAAAGTAATTACCATTGTCACTTAAGAATCTGAAGTTGTTCTTTAAAATCTAGGTTGACAAACATGTCTGGTTATATGTATCTGTATTGTCCTGAAAACAGAAAACTGGCTGTGCTTACTATCCTATCAACAAGTACTACAGAATTGGTGTTCTTGTTTCACTTACAACAATGAAACATAATAAGCTCTGGTGGCATGCTGGTTAATCAATTGGCTGCTTACAGAAAGGTTGTCAGTTCAAATCTATCAGCTGTTCTGCAGGAGAGAGATGTGGTGGTCTGCTTCCATAAAGATTTACAGCCTTGGGAACCCTGTAGGGCAGTTCTACTCTGCCCTATAGGGCTGCTGTGAGTCAGAATCAACTCGAAGGCAGTGGGTGGTTTAACATACAATTATGTAATTTACCATTTTAAAGTCAAAAAGAGCATAAATAAAAGAACAACCTATGGCCAAACATAACTTCGTGGTTCTTAAAATTGAGAAGACACTAAAAAGGCACAATCATGTGATGGTATCTATTAAAATGAAATTAGTAATATTTCTCTATTTTGTGTTAAACACCTGAAATTCCTTTGAATGGACTGGATGATCATTTTAAAAATAATAATAATAATAAAAGACTGAGCTACATCTTAAATAACTAGTATAACTTCTACGGTTTAAAAATCAGGGCATGCGTTAGAAATATTTGCCAATTATGCTTTCACAATGATATAATTATGGCTTCATGTTTTCCTTGGAGTCCAACAGCTTAGGCAAAGAAATTTAACTTCATTTATTGATAGATTCGTAATAGAATTTGGCAGGCTGAGAGATTTACTAATACTGTTAAACACTCACACTTAGTAGAGCGAAGATTTTCAGTCACAAAGTAACCAGCCAGCTACTGAGATCTTGTAAGTCATTAGTGAGCTACCTTTTCATTGCTTGGGTTGCTGCTGTTAAATAAATATCCCGATAGGTAGTCAGAAGTAGAACAACATGCTAAGGGCACCCAGGAAGGGTGTGCTGGAAACTTACTATCGCAACCTACATGCCATTTGCTTTCAATGAAGCAGGACAGTGGCCGCCTAGATCATTAGTGCTGAAGTTCATGCCTTGATAGATATACAACGGTATTTTACAACTTCACTTGAACACACAGCTCTGATTTAAGCACACCGTGCCTATCAATACTATTTATTTCCATAACCCCTTCTGTAAACAGAGCTAATACGATGTGTCACTGTCAACTGACAAGACTAAAATGATGTTTTTATTTTAAGCATTCACCACTATTTTAGCTTAGAAAGCTATGACTGCAATGTTGGAATTGGGATGAGTGGTTTATGTCTAAGAAAGACAAAATTTCCATGTAAGTTCGGTATCATACAAAGTACTCCACACAGCTGTAAAACTTAGTCCTGTTTTTGCTCTTACATAGCACAGTTAGCCAATATTTTTCTGCAATTTAAAAATACTATAGTGAGTGACATACAAAACAACAACAACAACATAGTGAGTGATGTGTCAAAAAAAGCCAACTTCCTAAAACCGGGAACCTCTGTCTGGGACATCTAACTTTCCTTCCATGATAAAAAATCTAATCATTCAAAGGTGCACGTTAATTTAAAATCAACCTTACTTTGTATTCTGGAATTGACAAAAGGTGGAGAGAGATTGTCATGTGACCCAAGGTCCCTGCTGGTCATGTGATCATAGGGAGTCCCATCTCCATAGTTCTGTAAATGAAATAAGAGTGAGTTTTAATTTTATGTTAATAAATCAGCACGCAAACATACTCCCACCATGACATCTCTCCCACCCAAATTTGGAGTCCATCATTCCCACACTGGAAACTCCCTATAAAGAACCCGTGTCTTCACAGGCATAGTGGGGAAGAGATTATAGAGTCTGCAAAGTTCAAATTTTCCTCAAGAATAGCAGTGAAATATTGAGAATAATAACAGTACCAACTTCATTAAGTTAGCGATATGATGAAATAATGAATACAAAACAAATGATGTATACAAACCAAAACAAAACCAAACTCACTGCCGTCGAGTTGGATCCGACTCATAGCGACCCCTCCTTGGGTTTCCAAGGCAGTGTCTCTACAGAAGTAGATTGCCCAGTCTTCCTTGTGAGCAATGGCTGGTGGATGTGAACTACCAGCCTTCTGGTTAGCAGTCAAATGCCTTAGGCATTACACTACCAGAGCACCTGATACATATAAAGTATATCACAAATATCAGAAGTTATCATTTTTTATGATCCCACTCGTATGAAACAGGCAAACGTAGAGGGACCAAATTTTATTAGTGGTTACCAGGAGTGGGAGGCAGTGAGTAAGGGAGAGTCTCGGCCTGAGGGACACTGAGTTTCTGCTAATAGTGGGGAAAGAATTTGGAAACAGACAGTGGAGATGGTAGTGCAACATGTCACTAAATTATATGTGAAGACAATACTGACCTGGCAAAAGTTTTGTCATAGATATTTTTACCAAAATGAAAAATCATTATTTTGATAAGCCAACATTATATTTTAAAAGATAAAACTAAGCTCTAAGGGAAAATTGCCCATAGGCTCTAATGAATCTCTTTGAAAGACCAAAGTAGAGTCATTAAAACAACATTTGGTTTAATGATACTAAAATTTCAATGTTTGTACAGTTACTGTTATGGGTTGCAAGAGAGTTAACTGAATTAGTCCATAAGTAATCAACACATAAGAATGTTATGAATATTATACCATAGCTACAAAGAGCATCAAAAATTTGTTATAAATTGGTATTTTTGAATTTGGACAAAGTATGGCACACAAAAAAGTTTTAAAGCAGACATTAATTTTTGACAGAAATTTTTCATTATTACGATTATCTCATTGCATTAAAGGGAATTCAAAGTTAGAGCAATGCTTTTATGTTGCCTAGCCATTTAGTTTGAATGCAGGAATCTGGTAACACATAGGAAAGATTTAAAATCACTTATGTTATACAGTTCAAATTTCAGTCCGCTAAGGTGTATAATGTGACCTCCCGTCCAAAAAAAAAAAAAAGTCATTCTGCTCAGCTGTTTGCAGTGCTCATAACATCCAAGTCAAACCTGCTCAGAGGTGTTAGTTGGCATGGTAGCCAAGGGGTAAATCTACTCACACACAAAAAAGATGGATGTTGTATAAGCAATGAAAATGCACGTCACGTCATTAGAGATAACTGGACACTTAAGGACAAACAACTGCATTTTCCCCAAACAACCCCAATCTTTCCTCATTTATAAAAACTAACATGAGTGAGAACATAATCTAATTCTGCCAAAATGCTGACCCACAAATGTGCCACATTTTAAACACACATCTCTGTGTTTTGCATCAGTCATTCTATATCAGGCATTGCCTAATGTTAATCACTATTTATTAAGTGTCCTCACTCAAGACACTGTACTACAAGTGTAAGGTCCCTTACATGATTTAATCCTCTGCACAATGCTACAAAGTAGATGATACACCATGTTACAAATGAGGCAAGAGAGACTTAGCAAGGCTGTCCTTGTACCGATCTGCCACAAACAATCTCTCCCAAACAAGTCCCTGGATTTAGAAAACACAATTTACAATTTATCAATTCAAAATGATTCACCAACATGTTCCGTGAGAAAAAGGAATAGTTCATTAAAACTACATTAAAAATCCAGGATGATGCTACATGGACTATGTTCTAAGGAGCAGAATTAAAACTACTATGACCTTATTGGACTAAGCAATCATAAGAAATTAAGGAAATCTGAATGAACTAACGTTAAAGAGAAGTTCTGTCATCTCCTACACTTGCTGTCAAGAGGAATGGATTTATTTCTGCAAGTGCAGACTGTAACATGAGGAGGAGGAAAGATTTCCTCAACCCATCCATATAATGCATTAGAATGTCAAACTCGACAGCTGGCGCAAGGACTCACCAACGTTGTTGGTGAGCTTAGAGATCCTGCTGTATGCTGCAGCCTAGAGTGAGGATCGCAAAAGGACAAGTGGAAACGGATGAGCACGGCTTGCTGAATGCTCTCCTTTTGACAGCCTGATTACTTTTCCTGCCTCTTATGTCAAAAGAAAGACCCCTCCCCACCACAAATTAACGTGGATCCTTAGAGTTAAATGTTATCATCTCTACAGAGTGATTCATCTCGATAGCGGCAGTCTATTTTTAATGTGGAGCATTAGATATGTCTCATAAAAGCTGATACGAATTTTAGAGGGTCTAGAAATGACTCCATTAAAGACAAGTTATATATAAAATGATACATATTTAAGTAGGAAGGGACACAGACAAAGGGTCCTCAGTTCTACTTCTCTGTTTTACAAATTGAGAAAATGAGGACCAAAGAAGTGAAGTGACATGCCAAGGTCAGGTTACCAAAACTCACATTGCCTACTTCTCCCCCTCACCTCAAACTCCCACGGTTTTCTCATTACACCCAAACTAAGAACTAAGACATGGAGGAAAACCATGAGAAAGAGTCATAAAACTTTGAGACCAAATACATGGCTAAACCCAACTGGTGGCCAAAGGCCCTAGTGGGGGAAGAGTAGCATATTTATAAAACGACATCAATTCAAAGATCATGATATAGAGTATATGGTAGAATAGACTCTCATACTATGCTTTAAAATTCTGCAACACTCAAGATTCCACCAATGTATTATGGGGATATTAAGATTTTTTAAAAGTCCTATCATGTCATCTACAAGAAAAAGCTTTCCATGAAACTGGATCAATAACTGGCAAAGGAAAAGCCAAATATTTAATGACGGATCTTTACTCCTGGTTAGCAGAAGCGGAACAGGTGTCAAATTCACTAACAGCATCAAGTAAGAAAATGAAAAAAAAAAAAGATTACAGAGACAACCTGGCTCTCATTTAACCTTAGCATGCATCTATTTCTGTACCACTGGGTTGTGTGTGTGTGTGCACGCACACGCATGTGTGTTCAGTCTGTCAATTTACATATGTGGGCTGTCTGGTTAAAAGAAAAAGATTAGATGTACTTACCCTGGATGGGCTTGGATGTCCTCCATTCCCCCAGGACCCTGAGCTACTTCTGTCTTCTACATCTGGGGACAAGAGAAAAGTTCTTTAGGCTTTCTCGCAAGAATTCTTTCTTTTTGTATATGCACTTTTAAATTAATGTTTCAAATTAATCTCCTGTTGCCTTTAATTAAGAATCAGGCACAAGGCTACTACGATGATAGTGGCTTCTGACCCATCCACTTAAATTAACTCATTTAAATTCACAACAGAAATGAACTGGACCCTCAGGAACCAGAGGTATGAACATAAAATTTACTTCTGTCCTTCAGTGTTTCTTTCATAGCCTCCATTTTTATAGACATGAAACTGCACTTAAGAGTTTTATTAAAAATCTTTTGGGCAAAGTAAGTTTTAAAATATAGCAACATAATCTTAATTTTTTAAAAAAGGTAAGTTAAGGTAAATACACAGACTAACACTGGAAGCCTCTTTGCCATAAAGTTCTTAGATACTTTTTGTTTTCTGGCCAAGGCTTATCACACCACACAACAGACATGCAACAGAAAATATGAGGCAAAAAAAAAATTTAATAGTCTATTGCCATCAGAAGGGTATTAGGATTTTTAGGGGTTGTACCATCTAAAGTGGGAGCTCTGGTAGCATAGTGCCTAAGGCACCTGACTGCTAACCAGAAGGCTGGCGGTTCAAACCCACCAGCCACTCCTCAGAAGGAAGATGGGGCAATCTACTTCCATAGTGATACTGCCTCGGAAACCCAAGGAGGAGTCTCTATGAGTCAGGTCCGACTTGACAGCACATAACAACAACAACAACCATCTAAAGTACATGTTCTGCATATTTGTATAAATTTGTGTTACATATGTATTTATGTACACATACATATGTAACACATATATACACATATATCCATATTTTTAATTCTTTTATAAATGTTTTCAAAGCAAGATATACCACTTGGCCGACAACCCCAAATCTGGACTTTGAGGTAGGGAAATAAAAAGTTCTTAAGTTATAAAGCTGTGTTTTACTTGGGTAGTGACAGACCCACATACTGGAAAGCTGAGATTCTTTTCTGTACCAGCCAAGTTCCAATGCTGATGGCATTCCTAAAAGCTCAGTAAGGGCTTCAAGTAGCAAATTTAAGGATGGAAAACAGAACAGCTAAACTGCCATACTAATTGCTTAAAGCAGAGAAGTGTTTCAAAGATCAGTCACTCTCTATTTAGGGATGGCGCTGAGATTTCTGATGAAAGGCCCTTTGTAAGTAGGAAACTTTCCCTGTTCTATTATGTTGATCACGGTTGATAACAGACGGCCATCACAAACTTCCTCTGACAGAACTGTAGGAGGAGGTGTGAAGCGTTGGTTCAGGAGACATAATCCCATTTATTGTGTTTCCTAACATTTCAGTGATACTGTTTATTCTCTCAATGCACTACTGTCATTCTTTTTATTACTGCTATTTTATTATCAGCAGAAGTAATCATCATAGTATAATTAATTGATTTATTTTGGGGCACAGTGGAGTACATGGTGTTTTAGAGTATCTTAGGAGACAGAATAGTAATAACAATAAAAATCAACTCTTACCATTATACCTGAATTTTTTTTGGAGGGCGTGGTATTTTAACAAATACTACTTTGGTTCCTTTTACTTGGTGCTTCAGAAGATAATCCAACCGCAAACAGATGTCCCCTGGGGACAGTTACAATCAATACACTGTGAGCTTTGAGTGATGTCAAGAAAGTTCCGGGGAGTACATCAAGCCTGGAGAGATGGTGAGACTCTTTTCCAAGCTCTTCTCTTAAACAACCCAATAGCCCAGCCTGGCTTGTGTACGCTGAGCTGAAGACACTTAGAAATTACCTTCTAATGAGCTGTGTAGCCTACATGGCTCTCCTTATTCTTAACCAAAAGTCAACTATTTCAATAAAAAAGTTAAAGTATAAGTAAGAAAATCTCCCAACTACTCCAAGTTTTCAGAAGTCAGACGCATCTTGACTTCCTTTTCACATGAAATCAGTCAGCTTCAATTAATTAATTTGACAGGTTTCTCCTTATGATATTCAGTCAAGAAGCCATGAAGGAACAGATCTGAATGCTGAGTTATCATAAAACCAAAAAACCACACCCACTGCCATCGAGTCGGTTCCCACTCACAGCGAGCCCCCACTGAGTTTCCGAGGCGATAAATCTTTACGGTAGACTGCCCAGTCTTGCTTCTGCAGAGTGGCTGGTAGGTTTGAACCACCAACCTTCTGGTTAACAGTCAGATGCCTTAGGCACTGTGCTACTAAGAGCCCCTTAAGTTATCATAAGACTTATTATTATCTGGATCCATTTTACCTTTTCAATTTTAAGAAGATTTTAAACATGAAAAGTAAGCACAGACAAGGAGTAAGGGCCAGAGGTTCTCAACTAGGAAGGATTATGTCCTGAGGGGACATTTCGCAATCTCTAATGACATTTTTGGAAGTGCTGTACATGGGGTCACTGTGATCCATAAGGTTTTCAGTGGCCAATTTTTTTCAGGAGTGGATGGCCCTGTCCTTCTTTCCAGTCTGTCTTAGTCTGGCAACTCTGCTGAAGCCTGTTCACCATGGGTGACCCTGGTTGATCTGAAATACCGGTGGTACAGGCTCTAGCCTCACAGCAACATGCAAGCCACAACAGTATGACAAACTTACTGCTGATGGACCAATAAACATGACGATAAATTGCGAAAAGACTGGTATTGTCAGAGACGTCATATCACTTAGCTCCACAATCAACACCCATGGAAGCAGCAGTCAAGAAATCAGATGGATCTGCTGCAAAAGACCTCTTTAAAGTGTTAAAAAGCAAAGATGTCACTCTGAAGACTAAGGTCACACCTAACCCAAGCCATGGTATTTTCAATCGCCCAATCTGCATGTGAAAGCTGAACAATGAGTAAGGAAAACCAAAGAAGAGTTTATGCCTTCAAACTGTGATGTTGGCAAAAAATATTGAAAATATTATGGATACATCTGTCCTGGAAGAAGTACAGCCAGAATGCTTCTTAGAAGTGAGAATGACTAGACTTCATCTCACCTACTTTGGTCACGTCAGAAGGGACCGGTCCCTGGAGAAAGGTATCATGCTTGGTAAAGTAGAGGGGCAGCAAAAAAGGGGCAGACCCTCAACAAGATGGACCGACAAGTGGCTACAAGAATGGGCTCAAGAAGAGCAATAACTGTGAAGATGGTGCAGGACCTGCCAGTGTTTCTCCTTCTACTGTACACAGGGTTGCTATGAGTCGGAGCCTACTCAATGGCGCCTAACAACAACACACACAGGGTTGCCTAAACTGGCATCAACTCAAGGGCAAATGGATTGTTCTTTTTTGTTTGTTTGTTGTTTTTTGGTAATCGGCATCAAGTGGGTAGCAGACAGGGATGCTGCTAAAACTGCCCACAATGCAAATAAACAGTTCCACAATAAAGATTAATCCAACCCTAGATGCCAATTGTGCAGAGGTTGAAAAACCCTGTTCTAGAGAGAAAACTGTACTAAAGATCAGAAAGGAAAAACCGATGTGGCAAAAAAACGTACTGGAATTTGATTTATAATTTAGCAAGAACTCTTAAGTAAATACAATGTCTTACACGTTTTTAACCCAGACTTGAGCTGGAATGTTTCAAGAGAACTTCATAAGCATTAGGAGCTCTGGTGGCATAGTGCCTAAGGCATTTGACTGCTAACCAGAAGGCTGGCAGTTCAAACCTACCAGCCACTCCTCAGAAGGAAGGTTGGGCAATCTACTTATGTAGTGATACTGCCTCGGAAACCCAAGGAGGAGTCGCTATGAGTCAGATTCGACTCTACGGCAGTGGGGTTTTTTTTCATATGCGTCTTCTGTCCACAGAGTACAGAAAAAAGGATGGTCAGCTAGGCAGCCTGCTAATTAGCACACAGATAAAACACATCAAAACTTGAGTATTCCCAACTGGGCAATTTCAAAAGGGAGCAATCCACTAATTAAAAATGCTAGAAGTCTAGCTTTTTCAACACAGGTTAAATACTGGCTGGGCTCCTTCACAAACAGACTCCCAACCAATGGGCTCTGACTGCTCTTTTCCCAACCCCTCCCTCTTCCATCTTTCTCATTTCCTGACCACACGCTGCTGCACCTTCCTTTCTGCCTCCTCCCTTTTACTGCTCTCTCTGTAACAGGCTTCTCTTCCCCTTGGCCTCCAGCTAGATCCAGAGCATGAGGACAAATTGCTAGCACTCCCAAACCCAACAGAACAATCTTACGAGTTCTAATTATATTTTATTTTTAAAAACATATATGGGCCAGGTGGCTTGGGCTCAACTAATAAGGAATTATGGAGCAAAATTACAGTGAAGGCTGAACCCAGAGAGGAAGAAAAGACATTTTTTCCCTGGGACATTTGCCAACCTAAAACATTTAATAGCATCTTGAGTCAAAGAGAACGTAAGTGAAAACTCAGGATCCATTCAAAATGGACAGCTAGGACAGCTGCCTCAGTACTCAGTAGAGCTGGGGACATCCCTGTGAATGGCAACCCCAAATGTCTTTGCTCAAATACGCAAACCAAATTTCCATTATCTGGGGCTACCCCCTAAAAAAAAAACCCTTAAATTCAGATGATTGGTTCTAGATTAGTTGAGCCCAAGCCACCTGGCCCATGCAACCACAAATGCTGTCTGAAAGAAGGTATCTTCACCTTATTATTGACGCAAAAATATTTCAAAGACAGTGAGTATCACACAGTCAGAAATACCGAACCACACAAGAAAAGAAAGCCCCATGAGCAAGAAACAACAAACAACCTTCAAAGACTTCATACATTAAAATCATCAGACACAGATAATAAAACAACTATGTTCACTATATTTAAAGAAATAAAAGGCAAGACTGGAAAGCATCTACAAGGAACTGGAAACCAGAGTGCAAGATCCAGTAGATCTGATAAAGAATCAAATAAAACTTCTAAACATGGAAATTACAATAACCAAAATTAAGATGAAAGGTCGGGCAACACTGGCAATTTTTGAACTCTTCTCCCAAGCCCT